ATATATACGTTTTCCCATTTTGCGTGTATGTGTGTGTGTGTGCCTGCGTGCGTGCGCGCATGTGTGTACGCGCGTGCGCATATATATATATGTGTGTGTGTGTGCCTGCGTGCGTGCGCGCATGTGTGTACGCGCGTGCGCATATATATATATGTGTGTGTGTGTGCCTGCGTGCGTGCGCGCATGTGTGTACGCGCGTGCGCATATATATATATGTGTGTGTGTGTGTATATAAAACCCCAATCAATTGTGTATTATAATTACACTGGCATTTCAAGTTGACCTTACGTAGTAACACTCTCTTATTGTCGTGTACAAATGTGCGTATCTTGAATTTTATTGGGAACTCCGCGCTTAGGCTTGCCTATATATATATAGCGATGACGGATTTGTACATAAATGTTCAGTATTTATTGTCTGTAAAATATGAAATTTTTCCCCATTTTCCTCCTGAAAGTAGGGGAGTGTTTGTACACACCATCAACCCACCCCAATAAGTGTGGGGGGGGGGATATACCATCTCTCCCCCCCCCCCGCTATCTACGTCCCTGGTCACTGATGAATAATGTTTTTTTTAATATAGGGCCATGATAAAAATATTGTTTGTTTGCCCTCACCCGACCGACCCGCCAAAAAGGGACAGACTCAAACAAATTTATCTTTTTCATTCTTTTTTTTACAAATTGTATCACTGTACATTATATGCAGGCAATACATTGTATGTACAAAGCAAAGCAAACATTCAACATAAAAGGTATCTCCACACAAGCACACCCGAGCATGTAGACACCATGCTGAATTTGTAAAAAGACCTCCCTAAAAAAGCCTACCTACCCAAACTTTTCAGCCTGGGTCGGGTGAGGGCAAACAACGATTTTTTAAATTGTGGCCTAGTGCTCCATTAAGTGCTACTTTTTGTATGACAATCACCTATATTATATCCTGATTATTCTTTGAGCAATTAATCCTACTTATCTCTTCACATGGTAAATGCACCTATTTTATTCATCTGTTAATGCCTTTATATCATCAAGCAAACTAATGTAGTTTTCTTATCCTAATCTGTTACTATTGTGTACTTACGAACCATTCATTTAGTTCTCAAACCAGATAGATGTAAACTACCTGTCCTGACTCCATCAAATAGAGCGATGAAGAAGTCTATTGAGAATGCATTGATGGCTGATACCTGTTTACATCAAGAGAATTTTTTAAAGAACCAGTACACCTTGCAGGATAGGCAGAAAGAATTAAAGGACTTTGCCAGGTATGCAAACTACTCTAGTTATGTTATTTTCCTCAGTGAATGTTGTAACTTATGAAAGGATTTGGTTGTAATGTTGCTTTGAGATTTTTAAGCTAGGCAGTCACCCTTGACACATTTACTGGTGCATTATTAGTTGGTATCTGTCATTCTTCTTTGTGCTCTCTTTGCCTTTCACTTTTACTCTCTTTCTGACTGTTCGTCAGTTTTTGTGTTGCTATTGGTCTCTCTCTCTCTCTCTCTCTCTCTCTCTCTCTCTCTCTCTCTCTCTCTCTCTCTCTCTCTCTCTCTCTCTCTCTCTCTCTCTTCTCCTCTCTCTCTCTCCTCTCTCTCTCTCCTCTCTCTCTCTCTCTCTCTTCTCTCTCTCTCTCTCTCTCTCTCTCTCTCTCTCTCTCTCTCTCTCTCTCTCTCTCTCTCCTCTCTTCTCGTCTCTCTCTTTCTCTCTCTCTCTCTCTCGCCTCTCTTTCTCTCTTTCTCTCTCTCTCTCCTCTTCTCTTTTATCTGCAGCTGGCTTCTGATATGAGTTGTGTTCTTACAAACAGTACTTAAAATATTCAGCCAGCCCACACTGAGAGCAGAGATGAGGGGTTATTTAAACTTCTGAAGCACGACACTAGTGATGAAGAGCTAAATTCATTGCCGCTGCCAAAAAATTGTATTGGGGAGACTTTACATTTTGCATGTGTACTTTCAGTGTGTGCTGATCTAGTACATTGACAGCATTAATTTCCTACATTTAATTTGCTGTATCATTTACATTACGTACTAGGAGTGATCATTCCTGCTGCGCTAATTTGCAATGCTTTTTTGTTGCTTGCTGCCGTAGCCAACAACATACTCCATTTTGTATCAGTCACCGAGTATAATGTTACAATACTTACGGTAAGTATGGCACTTTTGCAGTTTGTATCGATTCTGGATGTAAAAGGCAAATAAATTCAGCATATAACGATGTACATATAAAATATCAAAAAGGTCAATTTTAAACTACATCTGAATGGTGCCTGAAATAAAATATACCTGTATTTTACGCTGATCGCATTAATATTCGCGGGGGCGACGCAGGGGCTCTGGTAGCTGGCCCTTGAAGCTAGCTTTCTGTGAATATGCATGCAGTCCAAGGTGATTAAAACAGATGCAAAATTAAACCATATCTCTCTTGTCCCCCTTGCAGATATTTTGGCAGTTAGAAAGTATAGACATACATTAGAGGTGTAACGATTCACAATTCTCTTTCTCTCTCTCTCTGTTGGATCTTTTCACACTCTCTCTCTCTCGCTCTCTCTCTTCTCCCTCTCCCTCTCCTTCTCCCTCTCCCTCTCCCTCTCCCTCTCCCTCTCCCTCGCCCTCTCCATTTCCCACTTCCCGTCCCTCTCATTCTCCCTCTCCCTTTCCATCTCCCTCTCCCTCTCCTTCTCCCTCTCTCTCTCCCTCTCCCTCTCGCTTCTCCCTCTCCCTCTCCTCCGTTTCCCTCTCCCATTCTGTCTGTCTCTCTTTCGCTCTCTCCCCCTCTCTCTTTCGCTCTCTTCCCCTCTCTCTTTCGCTCTCTTAATCTCACCTCCTCTGAGTCTCTCTCTCACGCTCTTTCACGTGTTTGTTTCAATCTGCGTAAACCTGTAGCTGGAAATTCATTTGCTTTTAGTAATATTGTACAGGTGTAGCTGGTCTAGCTAGGTATGCAGTGGTAATTTACACTCCTAGCAGCAGGCTGTTTAGCGTTGTACACGTATATGCTGCTGGTCTGCTACCAGGTTGGACTATTGGTAATTTTTTGCAAGAGTTACAATTGTTTTGTCTGGGAATGTTGGACTCCATTGTTTACTAGCTTACCTGCAGCAATTTCATTGTGAGTGCTGGCAAGCATTTAAATCGACACCTGGCGAATGTAAGCTCATATTTTACATGTCTGAGAAAAGTAGCATACATTTTCTAACCCACAGCTTCTTATTTTGTAACATTCGTCCAGTGACTTATTTAAGGAGGTTGGCAAGTTAACCTTCTGGACCAGCCCTATCTTCTAACGTTCACATTTATTTTCACGTATTGACCATAGTACGTGACATATTCAGCTAGGTACTGTCACTAAATGCCAAGGGTATTGAGGACTACTTTGATAAGCTAAGAAGCTTTCATAGACTTATCCTGGCACAATGAATGCATGGCACCTGCCTTATGCGATCCATACAAATCGCCTATATACCTGCAGAGAATTTGTTGCATAAATTAGGTCTCGTGACGTACAACCCATGTTGTGTTTCTTTCAGTAAGAGGGGCATTATGTTAGCCAAGAGGGAGGAGATAACTGCAGCTGCGAAGCATCTAGAAGCTGACATTTCCACCTTTGTTTCGGCTGACGATGAAATGCCTACTGTGTCATTGGCAAACTCGCCTAATGAGTACTTATCAACTTATGAGAATATAATCAACCAGGAAGCTGCCAGGACGACATCGTTCGCTAATGGTGTAAGAACTACAATAATTTTTTTGACAAAATTTTAATGTATATATTTACACTAGAAAAGGATGATATTGTACCACGTATTTACATATGAACAGAAACATCAAGCAGGCACAGTAGACCATGGATTTCTAATGGCTGAAAAACCTGTGCTATATATACTGTATCATAAAATACTTTTGGCTGCTTTAATCTTCATAATAATTTGATAATGTGTACAGATTACATCATTGTTATGTATCTAAAAACAGATAAAACTAAATTATTTTTTTAGTAAATGTGAAATATAAGATTTTTAGATGACAAGCCCATGCAACTGTAGTGTTGCTGTCCATTCATGTGTGTAACAGAATATTTAGCTATTTATATTGTCATTTATTTGCAGTAGTTCATATGTTATCACATCATTTTGCCTAGGTGATTACGCTACAGAAGTATTTTGGAGTTCTGAGGCCGCACTTTAACCTAGATGTGCAAAGCCTAGCTAGCCAACAGGTAGCTATTGCACCAGAGAAACAATACATTGACAAAGGTTCAATCAACAGAGTAATGCAGCTTCAACTTATATATATATGACGTATATTATATATATATATATATATAAATATATATATACTTTATATTATAACCCTAACCCTATTGCCAAATTATCTAGGTGCAGTTTTTAATCGGATGACATTTTAATGATTTGTCTTGTTTGCTGCTGCCCGCATGTGTCAAAGTCCTGCCTGACATGAAACTGAATTCATCTTGAACTGTTATTTTTATCAAACCTAAATGATTGTACAATGTATAAAGAAGATGTGCATTCCTCTAAAAAAGAGCATGCGTATCTAGTCACTAACCCAGTGAAATACTGAATCAGGTAACTGTGGACAAGAAATTCTTTAAACGTGGCCCGAGCAGTACAATACCTTTATGCGGGAGCTTAAGTGAAATTAGATGTTTACCTGAATCTATGAGTCTGCTGATCTTGTGTGTGCTTTTCACAGCCGAATGTTAATGGAATGAAGCAGGGGATAGATGAGATAAACTATCTCAGCTTGATTCAGCAACTCAACCAAGCACTGAAATTATATTCACTTCAGCTGAAGAGAGGTAAATGAACACATTTATATGTACATACATGTAGTCAGTGCACTGGTAAAAAACTTGTAGTATTAATTACTGCAAGTTCACTCAAGCAGGAGGTTGTGAGGTTTTGAAGTCATGAGGTGCCATAGCAGTTATATCTGTGCCTCATGCTGCATACTTATGTAGGTGATGTCTGTGCAGTGTTGTCATAGCTGTAGCAGTCTGCATGCATGTTTTACTGCATTTATGCAAGAAGTTTTGAAGTTTGCACATTTACTTTAAAATCATATTGTCCTTCGATATTACATTAAATTTTATAACAAAATATTTAATGGTTTAAATTTTTTACAACTGATTTATATTAATTATATTGCCTTTTTTAATGGCAGTCAATTTTTGTGGATGAATTTTTACTGTGAATACCTTTCCCTCCAGATGCTTATTATAAACTTAATTGTTATATCCCTCTACATGTTAATTGGAAGTGAGACCTATAATGATCGATAGTGAATTATTTCAGTTGACCTTGCCAGCATGACTGATCAGCTTTCACCACTAGAGTCGTTACTGGACGTTCACCATCAACAACTAAAAAATGTTCATTCTGCACGGTAATTTTTTTATGGTGTTCATTTTCTATTTATTAAAGGGATACCTGACCCTAGGTTTCTGGCATATTTTCAGTTCAAATCGGTTTAAATTATGCTACATATAAAATTTCATTGTTCATGCAATATTTATTAAAAATATGTTTTAAATGTTTAAAAACTAACGGCTGTATCGTTGCTTACAACGAGGGTGGCGCCACTACTAGGCCATCTGCTCTCCGAGTTGCGCATCGCAACTTTTTGGCTGCAGGTTAAAGACCGAGGGTGTTTCTTATTTATTAATTCAATAGCAGAAGGATTGCAATATATTATATAAACAACTTTTAGATTCAGTTATACTATAGACGAATTTGTCCTAAAGTAAAAGTTGTTTGGTTAAATAGCAGTCGAGTATAAATATAATTGCAATCTTGTGATTAGCCCTTAATTGGTCTGTAACGTGCAAAATAAATCTGAAAAAGTACAACTTTGTCAAGGTGGCAGAACAATCGCGGGCTGTTATGTCAGCGGTCAAAAATAAAGATTTCGAAACTTACTGTTGTTTTAATGCATGATTACAGAAATGTGTAGGTATATACTATTATTTATGCACTTACTGTCATACCCCTACCCTGAAAAGAGGGGGGGAACGGGTATTTTCGGGATGCGGGATTGGCCATTTTAATTACCTGGGAACTGGGAAATGTCAGATAAATTTTCCGTGATTCGGGAACAGAAGTCCACCGGGACGTGGGAAAGACCCTCTAAAATTGTCTGGGATCTGGGAAAATTGTGTCAATTCGTCGGGATTTCAATTTCTGCACTAATATTTATTTAATTTTTTTATTTTAATTTTTTTTTTATTAATTATGCCCAGATAAATAATAGTATGTAAATATTAGTATTCATGTAGGGTTTGAAAACCTAAACTACTGAATTTCCTGAAACGTGTCTACATAATTTCCTGGGAACTGGGAATTGGGATTTTATTTTACTGGGAACTGGGATATGGGGTGTTTTTTTTTGGGAAAGTGGGAATGTACCCTCCCCCCCACACACACACCGATCCCCCTCTAAAAATCGTTGGGTGTAGTATCCCTTTAATTTTAGCATAAATTCCTCATGTACAGTAAAACTCGCATAAGTCGACACTTTTGGTACCAGCGTATTTGTGCCGACTTACGAAAATGACGACATACGCGTAAGTCTAATTTTG